GTCAACCCATTTTGACATGAGACTGGGTTGACATTTGCCCTGAGCTTGTGAAGTGTTAGTTGGTCAGTCTAACACACAGGGTAAAGCAATCGAGAAGCAAGCTATGATCACACAGGACAAAGATGTTGAGTTCACTATATTTGAACTATGTTTTAAAATATAATTAAGGAATTCATGAAATATTTTTGGAAATGAGTTAAGCAGTTAGTAGCCTATGTATTTAATAGTAGACTAGTTATACAGAATTTGACTTGTAATTTTTTTAGAAAAGAATGTTGATGTTTTGGAAAAAACAAAAGGCGTATCGCTATAGGTATCATGCATGATAGTAAAAGACCAACACATTTGACAGAAGAAACACCTAGTTTAATAGGTTTATGAATTTACGAAAAATACTGATTAAAACATAATTTAACGTGAAGGATTAGTTGAACTATGATAGTTCGGCTGGTGCTTAGATGGATGTTCTTGATACAGTTGCCCGGTGCTTGTGAAGTGTTAGTTGGTAGAAGAAGGAGGAATCCTCAGCTTGATCTCTAGCTCCCTCTGTATGTACTATAAGAGAAACGACTCAGCAGCAGAGGGACATGGTACTTTTGTCCAGGGTCAATGATAGTGAAAACAATCTGGAAAAAAACAACAACAATCATGTGATCAACAATTACAAGTAGCATATAACAATTTATATGTGGCTAATTATTTAGTGATGTATTTACAAAAATACAATAAATCTACAAGCAGGAAAGGCAGCAGTATACAATGGTGGCATCTCAACACAAATAATTTCCTCACCTCAACATATGGATAGAAGCTGTTCTCTCCCATACTCTCCCAGTACTGAGCAGTGTCAAAATGCATTTTATACACACCAGGTGTAAACATTTGTTTTGTGATGAGTCCTGGGCAACGCCCATCATCATTAGTGGCTCTGTTGAGACAAATGATAACATTTTTTGAGATACCCCTATGATAATAATTTATGACTCCAATGTGTGTTGTTTTTTGTTTGTTTTTGCATGAAGCTATTGTCCTCATGTTTTTACCCAGATGTTATCAAACTCCAGGCATTTGTGGATGGGTCTTGTCGATAGAGACTAAGGGCCATATTGGAGCCAGGGACACCCATGGCAGTGTTGAGCACATGGGTGGTCAGAGGACTAGGTGAGCCCATTGCTGTAGCCTACAAAAGAAGGGAGTTAGACTTTAAAATAAATAAAGATTTATTGACCCTGAAGCATTCACATCAGAATATTACTATAATTCTCATGCAAATCTTTTGACTGCCAGCAAAAACTTGAATGTATGCAATCCCTCTTGACATGAGGCGTTGAGATCACAAAATTTCATTTGAGCAATTTTTTTAACTTTGATATCATAAAACTTCAACATCCCATATTTAAATAAAAACAGCTTTATCAATGTTTCAAATCAGTCATCACATGCTTTTCCCTCTTTATCCATGAATGCTTGTGGTTGGAGTTATCTATGCAAAGTTAAAATTTTGCTCTGAACAATCATAGATAATTATGATTCATTCAGGTTTTCATGCAGTGAAATTCAAAATATATTAAATAGTTGAATATTAACATTAGATTGTATGCATTCCTTCAGACAATCAAATTGAACCTGAATAAAAGTTGACTGCAAATGTTCAGTAGTTAGGATATAAGATTTAACATTTATGTTTCAATATTCGATTATTGTCAAACACTTTCTACTTCCACAGACTGGACTTTTGACAGCTCATTTTGAAGCCTCCTTCAAATTACAAAATATTGCTCAAGCCCGAGCTCATGCAGACATTATTAAAAAGCCTTCTATCGAACAAAACATCTTATTGTATGTAAAACGTTTCTTTGAATTGAGCTTCTTTGGTCAAAACCTTTCGATTGGTTTGTATATTTTCTAAATATTTGAGCTTACCTTGTTTTCCGGCAAAATATGACCCTTGAGTTGGTGGAGCCTGTTAGCACTCATGTGCGCTTATGAATAGAATCCAAACTGGGTCAACAGTTTTAACCAAATAATTAGATTATATGGTTTATATCGCTTATTTAACAGCATGTGATTTGTTGTCACATGAAGTTTTAAGAGTGTCCTGTTCAGAGCAAAATTCAGCCCACACTGGCTTATCTCTTTGTCAACAGAAAACTGGTTGTGCAAGAGCTCTGCTCACCTTTGAACTTTGTGGTAACAGATGAATAAACTGGACAAAGACAATGAGTACATTAATGGAATAAAAGGGAGAGTGCGTCTTGTGATATGGTTTCTTTCAGATATGTTGTTTTTCTGACATAGCTATGCCTAACTGCTGGGTTATTTCAAACATGCAATTATTCAACCATTTCTGAAAAACAAATCTGGATCTCTTATCTCTTTATAATTACACCAACCTCTAAGCTGCCATTTCTGTCAGATGTACACAAGAATGTCATTTTAACCCAGCAAGTTGATTGATATGCAAGTAATAATGTTTTTAGCCTTTTATCTGGTTTTACAGCTCGCCAGAGTACTGAAACAGCCCAATGGAAGACAACCTCATTACCTGTTGATAGAGGGGAACGTTCTCTTCTTGTCCTTTAGATCTGCCCGCTGCTTTTGACACTGTTGACCACTCCATACTACTACACCTTCTTCAAACCCAGAGCGGTCATTAAAGGAACTACGCTACAACAGTACCTGTCCAATAGAACATTTTCAGTAGTCATAGCTGTCTTTTATGGGGTGCCGATTGTAAAGTTGTGCGCACAATACAAATAACAACAACATTTCTCCACATTTAGCCCAAAAAAAATCACTTTTTATTCACATTTAGAGAAATACTTGTGAACTTTGTCAAATTTACTTTAGATAATTTCATGGGCAAATATAAATGTTAAATATTATATCTAAATGTTGAATGTTTTATCTAAATGTTAAATGTTATATAGAAATGTTAAAAATACATGTCCTGATTCTAAATATTTAGCTACGTTTCTAAACATTTAGTTTACATTCTAAATATTTAGCTTTGATCCTATATATTTAGCTAAGATTGTAAATATTTATAATCAAAGCTAAATATATAGAATATAAAAAAAGTGTTTTGCAACGACTTCTAAATATTTAGCTAAGACTAAATATTTAGCAACGATTTCTAAATATTTAGCAACGATTTCTATTATATTAATATTTAGAGTCTTAGCTAAATATTTAGAAGTCGTTGCTAAATGTGAATAAAAAGTGATGTTTTAGGGCTAAATGTGGAGAAATGTTGTTGTTATTTGTAGTGTGCGCAACTTTACAATCGGCGCCCCATAGTCTTTTTCATTTGTTTTTGTAGTGTACCCCAAGGTTCTATTCTAGGCCCGCTGTTGTTTTCCATTTACATGCTACCCCAGATCCACAGTATCTCCCATCATTCCTATGATACTCAGCTGTATGTTCCCCTCCGACCAGATAACCCAGACAATTTCAATAATTTACTCTCAAACTGCAGTAATGAAATGTTGGATGTCACAAAACCTTTTAAAATTCAACAAAAATAATCTGAAGTCATAATATTTGTTCATACTCATTCCTCCAGCACACCTGATCCACTAAACAACAACATCACATAGAGCAAAAAATCTGTGCATCACATTTGATTCTGACCATTGTTTTGATACTCGTGTCAAATTCTGTTTATTTCAAGCACATTTTCTGAAATAACATCCTCTCTTGCCAATTGATTTGCACACAGTTATTTGTGCTATTATCTTTTCTTGTTTGCATTATTGTATTGCACTGTTAACCGGTATCAGTCAGAACTCCCTCGAACAATTCCAATTACCGGTAGTTCAGAACGCCGCTGCAAGAATCCTAACAGGCACAAACAAATATCAGCACATGACTCCTGTTCATGTCAGCTTACACTGGCTGCCTGTTTTTTTTAATCAAATTGATTTTAAGATGTTTTAATTACTTTTAAAGCTTTAAATAGCTTTGCCCCAAAATATTTTACAGATAATTTAAACCCCTATGTGCCTGGCTGTTTCCTTAGATCGGCGGATGTAGCTCTGCTGGTTGTTCTGAGAAGCCGGCTTGTTACAATGGTGTTTTGCAGTGTTTGCAACGCTGTGTTTTGCAGCGTTTGCAGTCAGAGACCCCAGACTGTGGAACACTCTGCTAATCACTATTAGACAGTCTTAGCCTTTATAAAAACCTCTATTAAAATGTATACAGGAAGACTTTAATGGACTTTTGATTTTATCTTCTGCCTTTTAAACCACCTATTTCTTATTGCCCTTTTTCTCTGTGTTCTTTTCTCTGCTTTCCTTTTCCATTGTTCTGTGTTACTTTCTAACTTTGTTAAGAAAAGGGTTACATAAATAAAGTTAATTACTATTATTATTGTTATTATTATTTCAATCATTACTGAATGCTTATTGAAAAACCTACAACCTCCTTCTTAAAATTCACAAAGAATCCAATACACTTAACACACGAAAAAGCATGAAAACATCAGGGATACCTCCTATTTAAATTTTTGTTTTATTGACTGAGATGTCATCATTTAAGCTGATGTTTTTGTTTAGATTGTTGTTTACCTTGTTGATTGATCACTCACCTATTTTTAAGAGCAGAACATTTCATTTAGGCCATGATGTATATCAATAGGTTATTTGCATAGGCCTTTCCAGGAGCTTTTATCTTATCCCACGGCCTGTATAGGAGCAGTTTCTCATCAAATAATAAATAACAATTTCAAACTACATGTACTGGTGTGATTTTTCCGATTCTAATCTAATTTTTTCAATTTTTTTTCAGTCAGGTCGTAATTTAAACGTTAAATTATGTCCTATTTGTGTTCCCTTTTTCTATTTTGTTTAAATGCATGCTTATTTTATTTTAAAAAAAAATATGTCAATTATATTCCCAAAATGTTGGATGAAAACATTCAAAGTGACAACATCAAAATCCCCCTCCCATTTTCAAAGCACACGTATTGTTTTGTTAGGATCACACAAGACCACAGATAGTTAAAAGTACATGAATCTTTAGTGTCTCAAGTCTCCTCTTCACTTATTTGGCTTCATCAGCAGAACATGATGGCTGTAAAAGAAACAGCTGATGGTGCATAGTCTGCAGGTACAATTCTTTGGTTTGTGGAATAGTTTAGTGTAGGTCAGCCAGACACTATGTAGCCTACTGTTGAAAAAAGTAACAGACAAACATCTTCCACTAGAATCAGCTGCAGTCTGTTGATTGGGATCCAACACACACAGAAATATGTATATAAGGAAAAATGTCCTTTCCGGTCCCCTTCGATTGCTCCATGTTTGAAGGAACAGTGACGTTGCTGGTTCAACGTGCCATGCCATAATCTGGCACCACTTACTGTGTTCCTTTGTTTTTTATAGTATCCTTCAATTATTGTAACATTAATGCACCTCACCACCCCAGTTTTAAAACAGGACATGCACTTCCATCATTGTCACGATATCAAAATTGTTTGTTTATATAATGCCATCTGCCTCACATTCTTTCCATTATTTATCCAAATGTCAGTTTAAAATAAAATAAAAACACACTACCATTTACTGTATTTATACTCAATATGAAAATACTTTTACTACTGTGACATGGAGTAATTCCACTTGGCTTATTTTAAGAATGCAAACAAAAACATGTAACACAATATGAATTATCTTCATACATTGCTTATTTTCTTTTAAAAAAACAAACATATGTGAAGTCCTAAAGCAAGGTTCAAATCAGACAGTTCAACAATTACAGAAAAGTTTACAGTAATACACAATATTACACACTGACCTGCGCGTCTGCATGTCTTAAAGTGCCAAATACATGGTGGAAGAGCATTTGAAACATTCCTCTAATATATCTAAAATAGGGAAAACACCTTTATTTCTTCAACAGGATCATTTCTAGAACATTTATGTTAGTCACAATGACATTTCAAACAGAAAACAACTTTTATTCCCTCCTGAATGATCTTTTCAGCCTCTCAGTGATAACTATGATCTACTCTGATTGTTACATTTTGAATTTACTTCACAGTAAGTCGGGTATAGGAAGAAAATAAACTCTTCAGTGATCAAATCTGAGTGAGTATAGATTTCCTTTGAAGGGTCAAAACAGTCTGGCATTTGCAGAGAGAGTTTCATTTCTACTTTACATGCACACACTAGTCTATGCCCTTATCCTGAAAATGACAATAATCCTTAGCTGTTCAAATGGTTAAATCCACCCACTCTTTATGGGTCTGCCTCATTCTATATTGGGTTTGCATTATTTATTTTTTATTCTGACATAGACTTAGACATAGGCTTTATCACAAAGAAATACACATATTTTAAAAAGACAGGAGTCAATCTTTTAATTTGACAGTTTCTGGATATTCAGCAGAAACTAAACAGCTTCATTTTGACACTAGATTTACAGCACATTAAGGATTTCTGTGGGAACAGTTTGACATTTTGCAGCATGTTTAGAAAAATACTTTTAATGCGACCAAGCTAATCTGGTAAGCTGCTTACATAATTTTTTAATCAGAGAAGTCTATTGTCTCATTTGGATTAATATTGCAATATCTGTATTAATACTGGAAAATTGCTGCTGTACAACCCAGTTAACACAGTACAATAGGATGGTCTGCCTAGGCAGGATTATTAAAAGTAAGTTTAATTTACCACCATGCCTCTAGGTAATCTTTATAATTACTCTCAGGATAAGATCCCACTCTCTCTCTCTCTCACTTTAACATAACAAAATCTTCACAATTATGTGTATGTAGCTTACTTACTGTGTTAAAGTCACCAGTGTCAGTGTTTTGGTATTTCCTCAAACTACTTCACAGAAACCAAACTGTTGTGAAACAATTAGATGGTGTGTTGTCAGAAATGAACAATCTGTTGGAGGGGAGATGATCCTCTGATATGTGTGTTGACTTCATAGTTTATGTTCTCTTCCTCCATGTTTGGCACTTAATCCACGTCTTCTATGTCTTCTTATTTTCCTCCTTCATATTTCCTCCTCTGGGTCTGAGCTGTGGTTGCTCATCTGCAGCAGACAGACAGACAGACAGACAGACAGATGATGAGAGACAGGACAGACAGACAGACAGATGATGAGAGACAGACAGGACAGACAGACAGGACAGGCAGACAGACAGACAGATGATGAGAGACAGGACAGACAGAAAGAGAAAACAGAGTGATTTGGTTAAATTGCAAAGTCAGAATGACTCAGTAAAATGTGATGCATGATTATAAATCAGTTTCATGGTGGTGTCTCAGTGTTACATCAGTTCTCTTTACAAGACTGATACATCTGAATGTGTTGTTTGTGCTACTCTAAAAGTATATTAATGATAACATTATAATAATAATAATAATTATGTAACAGTAGTTTGATTAAATTTCTAATCTCAAATTTGATCTTTGATTTTTTTTCTTCTGATTTATAAGGCAAGCTTATTCCCATGGATTACTCTTTTAATTTAACCGACTATATTCCAAAACAACTAAACACACATTTCAGGTGTGTTTACCGTGTGGTGGTCATCATCGGGCTCCCTGTGGATTCGATGGCGGGCGCTGGGTGGGGAGAGGGAGGAGAGGGAGTGCTCAGGACTGCTGGCGGACAGAGCGGACCCTGAGCCAGCTGGACTGTCCTCTCTCAGTGGAGAACCTACATCACACACATGGAGTAAGAAATGATTGACTTTGCAGTCAATGACGGGCAGAAAACAAGAATGGAAAGGACAGGATGAAGGGAAAAACAAAGAGATAGAGAGAGGAAAGAGAGAGGGAGCAGGCTAGAGGAACTGGTGAACAAAGTAGAGCAGTTAATGAATTGATATGAAGATAAGATCTATCAATTGGCAGAAAGTGATTCAAAGTAGAGACTACACACTCTTTGCACACATAGGTCTACTTCTCTTAAGGTGTTGATACAGCTTTCAAACTGTAGTAGACAGAGGAAATGTTCTCTTTTTTATACCCTTTCTATTTGTATATTCATGATGTTGAAGATTTTAAGTTTTTCTTTACAAAAACATTGAAGTGTAGCAGCGACTAAAGATTGTTCTCTCTCTCTCTCTCTCTCTCTCTCACTACATAAGTGGTCTTCTTAAGTTTGTTTCAGTTTACGATCAGTTTAAATAAAATTGCTGTAAAACCTGTCACCTTTAGGCAGGATAATAATTCCTTGTCCTGTTTCCTTTCTGTTCTGTGGCTCCTGTTGGCCGGTGCAGTGACTATTGCCTTCAAATGTCCACATGAGGGCAGCAGCAGCTTGTCCCTCAATTGAAAAAAAGCTCCTTTACTCCCTGAATTGTTGTCCTGAGTTTGAAACTGCATTAGTCAGTTAACCACTCTGTTTGTTCAGCATGTTCCATAATTTCCTCAGAGTCATATATCAAGAGACCAGCACGGCACCCCAGTTTTGCCTTGATTCAACTTTTACAAACATCCTGACTGGAGGGAAATAATTGATTTGTCAGGTGAAATAGAAGTGACTCTACGGGTGCACGACACTTCCCTTCCCCCCTCCCTGTGTCCTCTTAGCACAGATCCTGAATAATTTTATCAAGGTTTTGACTGGTGCCAGTAGTAGGGCAGAAATCTGAAAGAGGCATATTGCTTCTGCCTTTCACCGGTTTTGATGTGCGTATAGATTATCTATCATTTGATTGCACAGTGACCTGCCTCCACTATCTTTGTGAATGAGCGTCTTACCTTTGTGGTCATTCCGCTGTGTGTCCATCCTGTCCAGACTGTCAAGCAGACCATCGATCTGTGTCTTTATCAGAGTCAGCTCCTTTTTAATCACCTGCAACTCCTCCATGCCCACTGCAGGGACAGTCACAATGTAAAGAACACAGACACACCCCGAACATGTCTTTAGGGAGAGTTTTGAAGTAATCGATAGACACATGTGCTCATTTCTTACAGCTGGAGAGGAAGATTGCTACGTTGTTATTTCTACTTCTCAGATTTTACAAATTAAGCAAACACTTTGTGCATTTTAAATATGCTGGTTAACAGATGTATTTTTCCTTTTATTTTACTATTCATCAGAGCCTGGCAACATGTTTCCCCTGTTTCCAATCATTGTGCTAATATGCTAACAGAAGAAGACATTGCCTAGCAGCTATGATGCACTATTAATAAGAGTTTCGTATTTATTTTCTAATTGTATTATTTCTAATTGAAATATTGTAGAAAAAAGAAGAGCGAATTTGTCCAAATTTCCATCGCTTACGAAAACAATATGTCTTTGAAAGATGTCTATTAAAACACTAAGTTAAATAAATGCAGCATCATTTGTGTGTGACTACTCAAAGGCTGAGACGTTAAAGATGTAAGGATACATTGTGTAGCATTGAATATTTCACACAGAGAGGCAAACTATGTCAATCTGCAGCTTTCTATGTAACCTTTTGTTTGACATAGTCTTCACATATTACTCACACTTGGCTGTGGATGAACTAGTTGAGTGGGCTCGTGAGCTTTTGGAGTGGGTTCTGTCTCGACTGCGTCTGTGCCCGGTGGAGTAGGAGGAGGAACGGGATCGCTTGGCCAGACTGGGTCCCAGAGGGAGAGGAGACAAGGAGGCCGGCACACGCTGGTAGTCATACACCCTAGAAATTAAGAAGGTAAAACTTTACTGACTGTATTGAGGCAACACGTTAAATGGGGGACTTTGACTTTATAAAAAAAAAAAAGGGTAATAAAAAAATAAATTTGCATCTTTCTTTTAAAAAAAGAGTCAATAGAAGTTTTTAAGTATATAAGATTATATAGGTATATCAGCACTAACATTGACCAAAGAAAATCCAAAGAGAACCCTCGCTCAAACAAGCTGTTCTACAAGCTGTAAAAAAGAGATTTAAAAAGAAAGAAGGTTGGAAAATAATTCCTAGATAAATATGGATACTTATATTCCTTTGTCTTTTATCTCTGCTTCTCGCTCACACACTCTGGCGTTGTTCCTCCCTGTGGACAGCTCCATGTCTCTATCTGTCACTGAATGTAATTGGTTCTGTCAGGACCAATCAATAGCTCCCCGCCAGGCTCGTATTGCTGGTGACAGGGGGTGTATCACAGTCAAACTCTATAGTGCTTACAGAAACCACACTGAGTGTTTGTGCATGTGGGCTTGTTTTAATAGAAACAGAAGCGATGCTGGGATGGAAGCAGAGAGAGCAATATGACCCCGACACTCAGTGAGGCTGATGACCAAGTGAATTACAGCTTCAGGGTCAACCAACCACAGGTAAGAAAAGCTGCTGGAAGCATAGAAAATAGCCTGCCCCCGAAAGGTCAACGATTCAAAGAATTAGTCGAATCTAAGTGCTTTTGTTTGTTTTAAGCAGTGTCACTGTAAACAGATCAGTGAGAGAGCAGTGGTAGGAAGACTGTAAACATGAGAGCATAAGAGAACATTTCTTGAAATGATCTTTAGTGAATAAAACTGATTTATTAATATATATTGTTTTAATATGCATCAGTGTCACTTCGATACTCTTAGTGGACACAGGACATAAGTATTGCCTGAGCCTAGCTGCTGCAACCTTTTTTTTTTTTTAAATGCATGATTTCAACAGTGTTCATTGTAAAGTGGTTTGTTTTTATCAGGGCCAAAATGATCTGCAGAGGTTTCCCCTGCCCCCCAAAAAGAACATGCAACACCAAGAAAACACTGATTGAAGCAGTTGTGCTTTATTTCTAAGTTGTCTTTGTGAAGCGCAAGTCAAAAAGACAGCATTTAACAGTGGAATTAGATTGGACTGAAACCATAGTACTAAAATAATCTAAATGCAAATATTTGGAGGTTCTATAGAATAGTATCAGCTGCGTCACAAATAACAAGTAAAACTATAGTTTCTACCATTTCACACTGGACTATTTTCCATGAGAAAAAGAGTTTCCCAGCTACTGCAGCCAGCAGTCTTGATGGTGCTGACTGAAACACCACAGGAACAACCTCAGACATGTGCAGAGTTTTCACATTAAAACAATTATACTAATAAAAATGTCTACAGCAGATAAAAAACATTATGGTAATTGGACTTGAGCTTGTTTGGCACTTTTCTTAGTTGTCTGCCTACTCTTAGCACTTTTTACAACACATGTACCCATTCACACACAATTCACACACTGATGGCGAAAGCTGCTGTGTAAAGTGTCCATCAGTATTAACTGTTAACATTAACACTATTAACATACACATTCACACCCCACTGTCTCAGCAGCGCGAGCACTGAGGGGTTCAGTGTCTTTACCAAGGACACTTTGATATGCCACTGAGCTGGGGATCGAACCCCCAACCTTCCGGTTCAGAGACATCCAACTATCACTGAGCCACAGCCGCCTGTTACATATCAAACTCAGGACTGTAAAACACATTTTTCAACTAATCCAAATTTAAAGAGCTGCAGAGAAAACATATTTTTTCTGAATAAATTGTTAATTTAGGAGAATGTAGGATGCATTATTATAGAAATTCATCCAAACTGGAATTAGTCACAATTTGTTTATATACCAGGGCCGATAACAGTCTGGTTCCTGAGAAGCTATGTGACTAAAAAGCTTATTTGCTGTATATCACAACAGGGAGACAAGCTGTCAGCTGCAAGGACTTGGAGTCAGGCAGAAATGTAGATTAACTGATTGGGCTGTTATCCAGTCAGTGAGACGCAGCCTTGCCACCTGAAAAGTTTTCTCTCTGTTTTCTGTCCTGTTTTATTCTGTGAAGATTCTCCATTTTGATACTGAATTACAAGTTATTTCCCTAGCCTCAGACACACGTGTCATATGAGGATGAAGAAAGTGTATTAGGCCACCATAAGTGTGTGAGATTAGGTCTATGAGCATTGTGTCCATGTGTGGAGACACAGACACCAAAGAATTATAGGAGTTTAAAGTCCTTCAGAGCAGTTTGCAGGGGCAGATATACAATGTGTTGTTACACCAGCTTTGAAGTGTCATCTCAGAGAATGGGAGCTCAGACAATGGGAGCGCGTAGACGAGTGAGGATTACAGAAAAGTGTGTGAGTGGATGTGAGAGGGAGTGTTTGTCTCTGCGGATTAGACCCCACACGGAAGGCAGCTTTGTCAGCTCAGGCTGTTATCTGTGTGTTAGAAGACACTTTTCCTTTTGGTTTGCACAAGAGGACAACTGGAAAAAAAAGTCATTTCTCTCTCTCCCACATATTGATGTGCACAAACAACAAACACACTCAAACACACTGTCCCCACACAATCACATCCAGAGGCAAACACATGCTGGAACTCTCACAATTACGCACACATACCCACACAAAAAAGCACAGAGCTGTCTGCAGTGGTAGCCACCAGCATGGGGAATGATCATGCACTGTGTTAAAAACAAATTGAGATTCAGTGGTGAGTGTTCCCCCCTGAGCAAACACAGAAAAATGCAGAGCTAGGAAAATCACAGCAAAAAATAAACTAAGAGAAGAAAACGCCAAGGAAAAGATGACAGTTAATTCCGGGAGCAACAGAGCATCAATATTTGCAAGAAATGCAGTGAAATGAGGTGTTATTTCTGCATGTGTCTGTGAGTGTGTTTGTGTGTATGTGTGTGTGAGAGTGTCTACGTGTGACTGCATTCTGTTATTCAGATGTGCTGAGTGAGGAGTTTATGGGTGAGGCCTGGGGGGATATCAAGGTCCCTGCGCATTTTAGTGGTGGACCAGTAATACAGAGCCACAGTCTAAACAACTACTCCATCTACACGACCACTGCACTAAACACATGCAGAGAAGTGTGTGCAGAGATAACTAAATGGTCAACACAAAAAAGATTATTGATAATTGCAAAACTGCTTTTAGTGTTTTAAATAGTGTTAAACAAATCTCTGAATTAAGCGAAAATGTTATCAACAAGACGTTCATTTATTTTTTCCTTTGCGTCCAATGCTAGTTGTGACATCCGCCATAAACTTAGTTCCAAATGTGGACATCAGGAAATCAAACCTATCTTTTTCTTCCTGACTGCTACACCTGTGTGACACTTAGAACCAAGGTATTAACAATTTGATAAAAACATCAACATGTACAGTAGCCCTATTTTCTCATCCTGAACATTTTGCAATACAGTAGTCATTAGCTTTCATGCTAATTAGGCTGAACAACTAGCAAAATGATTTCAAGGATGAACAGACTGAAATTTCGGGACACCAATGTAGCAGACACAAAAGACTTCTGTTGTTTAGGTCCTTAAACACTCTATTCTGACCCAACTGTTGCCTCTCTTTGGCGGTCTTATGTAAAGTAAATTCATTTAAAGCCCTGACACGCTCTCTCTCTTGGGTCAAGAATCAAGCTGCTCCACTTAGCAGTCCCCCTGAAGGTCGGAAGACTTGCCGTTTTGATGACTGGATATAAAGTGTTTTTGTTCACAAGGTTGTTTGCTATTAAAGGAGCAATATGTAACTCTGAAAAATTCAAAACATTGGAGAGAGCTGTCTCTCTCTCAGTGTTTATATCATGTTTACATGGACCTGGGCCTTGCGTATAAAGCTGTTTTAGTCAAGGACTAGAGAAAAGAAGAATAACAACTCCTACTCTCTGATTATTTGGATGTCACGTAAGTGTCGTTAGATCTCGGTCATTCCGTGTCAATTTATGTGCACAATGAGTGATGTGCTATGAGTTAACTAAAGAGCGCTAACATTAGACTGCTAACACAACAATGCAGACCACAGGCAATTGCACCTCGAGCAAAGAACAATGTTGTCCACCGCTTGTGCTTAATAATGCTTTATTATGGTGCGTTCTAATTCATAACTCTTTTGTGCGATCGGAGTGGCGAGTGGTTGGAGGTGGGCCCCTGGAGGAGAGAATAGCGGAGGGGTCGCCAAACAGCAGTTAGTTTTGGTTTCATGCTGGTGCTCAAGGGCGACATCATGGATCAAAAAGTTGAACATTCTTCCTTTAAATTAAACTTCTTTAACTTTAACTGCATGCATGTTAAACAAATATACTACATGATCTGGGAAAATGTATTTTGTGATTGAGTTGATCAAGGCTGTTCAAAAACATTGTCTTTGCAACTCTGGGGAAAGTGTGTATATACTGTATAATATAAATATATATATCTTTCAGTCGATTGCATTTATGTGTCCGTGTGCGTGTGGGAGCCGTCTGAGTGAGCGTGGCTGTTAAGCAGTAACAGGCGACATTGCCAGAAAAGACAATATGAGTGACAGCTGTGAGGCAGACAGTGATGGGGAGCAAAGACTTCTGGGGACTGCAAGGACAGAGAATCTGCTTTAACACTTTTCCTTCTGCTTCCTGTGACAAAGACAAGCAACAAGGTGTGTGAGCTGCCATGCATAGCTGTCTGACAGTACCTGTCATAGTAGTCCTCATGGTAGCTATCATACTCCAGGTCTAACTCAGATCTGCAGATAGAAAGACAGAGCAGGGGATGAGTCGAGCATTTGTCAAAATGAAACGATGCAATTTTACTTAAAAAATAGCAAGTTTAGTGAGTGAGTCAGTGTGTAAATGTGTGTGTGTCTCATCAAAGTGAGATGGAACAATAACTTCATCTGGAAAGAGCGCTGCATTATGATCTCTAGTCAGCTAGAAAAAGACATGGATTTGTTCTACTGCAGCATCCAAGGTGGAAAACAACGTTCAGCTGCTCACTGAACACCTCCATGTGTAAGCTTTGTGAGGCGTGTGTGTTTGTGTGTGTGTATGTGTGTTTGAGAATTAGAGGCAGGTGAGTTATGTGACAGCAGTGAACTTATATGGGCCAGCAGTTGGTGTGTACCTGCAGAAAAGGCCAGAAGAAGTGGAGGAAAGAAAAGTGACACTAAGCCAGAGCGAGATCACATTCTGGTGTGTCAGAGCTCATCGTTCCTGTCTAATCCCTGCACAGAGTCGCAAATAATCCCTCCATGATGCTCCCCCTCCCCCTGTCTCCCTTTGTCTCTCTCACTGACTCATTCCCTCTATATTTTCTCATTCTCTAATGTAACTGTAATGATTTTCCCTTGTTTACACCGACATGGGGCCAGTTCTATCTTGAAGAATACATTCAAAACAACCAGTCTGAAAAATGTACATGGCTTCGTTGATGTCACCCATTGTTTTGTGAACCCCCCTATCAATGCTTTTAGTGTTCATCTATCAGAGATGTCATCATGTTGATTTTTATGGTGACAGAACTGACCATACTTGTAAGACAGGTTGGATACACGTATGCCTCTGTTTACTAAATGAACATCATGCTGAATTGAAAAAGACTTGAATCTAATGATTGAGATTAAGATCATAATTCACAAGGAAAATGTTAACTGAGGTAATAAATGAAGTTTCATTTTCTTATAATTTAATAGCTTCTCCTTTTTTGCCTGCAAAGTATTCTACCCCTGCTGGACATTGGAAATAATGCACATTTAAGGCACTTAGACGATGTAAAGTGTTTAAATCACTGGGGACTTAAAGTAAAGACAAAGACAAAATGCTTCATATAACTGAGGGGAACTGAAAAGTTGTATATATCTCTGTGGGTCTCTATAACATGTGCTTTCTAATGCAGGAGTCTTTAGAGATGCTTTTGATCAATACATTTTCTTTACTGCAACTTTAAAGTAAAACAAAACATTGTCAGTAAAGCACAAGACAGCCCCTATTATTCAATGCTGACACATTGAGTCAAACATTCATGCTCACATTCACACCTACGGGCAATGTTGAGTCACCAATTAACATAATGAGCATGTCTTTGGACTGTTGGAGGAAGCTGGAGTACCTGGAAGTAACCCACACATTCACAGGGAGAGCATACAAACTACAGGAAGCCCCCATCAGACACAGATTTGAACCAAGAAGCTTCCTTCTGTGGGACGACATAGTTAACCATTACACCACAGTGCAGCCTGGCCCAAACAATATTCTTTAAAAAAAGGTGATATTTCATGACACTAGCATATTTTGGGGAGCCGACACACATAGTCCTTGCCATCTGCTTATCTGTCACTCAGGGAGGTAGAGATTCTCCTGGTTGTACTCCTGTATCTTATCTCAAAGGAGAGATGTTGTTTGTATGCATGTCAGGATAAACAGCGAGGGAACACTTCTCCACAGCCTAAACATGGAAACATTTTTAAAAATAAACATCTGATCTCATGTGAATTTCTTTTGGAGGAGACAGATCTCACATCTTCTCCAGTGTTACTCTCACTGACCCTGTCTTAATCTCCTAACAGCCGGTTTCCCGAGCTCAGGAGAGAGGAAAAGACAAATTAATTCATGACAACTGCTCATCTCTGAGGTAGACGCTTACCAACGGGAAGGTGTAATTTAAAGACTTGCTTTTGTTATTCTTCTGAAAATGGAGCAAGTACAAGTGTGGTTGAGGCTCCTTCTGCAAACCAGCCGTTTCATGTGGAGTCATAGAAGACACCATAAGGAGCAGGGCATTGAATTATCGACAACATAAAGACTTTAAGGATAAACTGGAGGCGCAAGAACAGAGCACAAGAGAAAAAAAACCCTCAGCTGTTCTGCTTTCTGCTCTGCGAGAAGAAGTGAGACAGAAAACAAATTATTTTCCAAATCCTCACAGAGGGGAAACTAAGCTGCCGTTCAATCTCTGTTAACCTATGTGTCATAATTCACTTGTTAAATAACTTCTGTTTGTCATTGTAAGCTGTTTTAATAACTTCTCTTGGCTTGTCTGTCGTTCTACACGTCTGGCTGCACTTGCTAAATAATCTATATTAACACATTCAGAAAGTATGCACCATATTATTATTTCTTAGGGTCATATTTATCATGAAATAGTTGTTATTTATGTAAGGCTCATGGTAAGGTCTGAAATGTCAAGCCTTTAAGTCTGACATGGCAAAAATGTGATTTAAGTCGATAAATATGTGACAGGTAAGCACAGCCCATTTACAGCACATGATTACCTCCGAAGTGAGCCGCAGAGTGCCTGGGTCACTGTGTGTGTGTGTGTGTGTGTGTGTGTGTGTGTGTGTGTGTGTGTGTGTGTGTGTGTGTGTGTGTGTGTGTGTGTGTGTGTGTGTGTGTGTGTGTGTGTGTGTGGGTGTGTGTGTGTATGTGTGTAAAAAAAGAGAGAGCGAGAGACGCAGGTGGAGAGCAGGGTCACTAAAGGCTAATTAATTTCTTTTCATAATTTCTCAAGTGCCAAAGCAATCCATTAGACATGGCCGACTATAAATCATCTCAGCCTCAGCATGCCTGCCGGTGTGTGTGTGTCTCTAAGTGTGTGTGTGTGTAAGAGAGGGAGAGATTGCGCGCGTGTGTGTGTGTGTGTGTGTGTGCGCATTAGACAAAGACAAGGTGTTTTTTTGTGAACAAAGCAGGCCAAAGATTTCCTTCAACATGCAAACTCAACACCAACCAGGGTAGAAAAAAACACCAGCTGAGTCACAGAAACAGAATCAATGGAAAGAGCTCAAAGGTGTGTGTGTGTGTGTGTGTGTGTGTGTGTGTGTGTGTGTGTGTTTCTCTTCTGTCGGTCTGTCTGTTTGTCTCTCAGTCTTTGATGGATTATTAGAGATTTATTTGGCTCAGAGAGTTGACGAATACAATTTAAATCTCCCTGACAATGAATCAAAGTGACATTTTCTGAGACGTTCATGTGTTTTTGATTGTGTGGACATCAAGGGTGATAAATAATCACCACTTTCGTCTTTTGTCCAAGGTTTCATTCCCAACAAACCAGAGCTCTCTCATGGATCTTTGAATTGTTATCAGACTAGAGTAGACTGTTTAAATGATATGTCATAAAATAATGACAAATGATGGTGCAAATAATGTCAAGAAAAAGTGACCACATGGGGGCACTGATGGCTTAGCGGTTTGGTCGTGCCTCATGTGAGGGGGCTCTAGTCCTTCAAGTGGGCGGTTTGGGTTCAAGTCCGACCTGTGGCTACTTTTCTGCATGTCAGTCTCTAATCTCCCCTGGTTGCCTACTCTATCTTCTCTATCTATCTAAATAAAGGCACAAGCCCCAACAAAAATCTTAACTACAAGGATGGTGAAAAACTAACCTGTTATTCACATGTTTCAGATTTTTTTTGAACGAGACATAAATTTAATAACCTGTGATATTACAATTCTCTTAAATAAATAAAGGCAAAGAGTATTTGATCTTTAGTGGAACAATAGATGGAAAAAAAACCACCTCAAAGAAGAAATTAGTTTAAGTAATTTCAAAACCTGAGCTCTCTTTCTTTTTCTGTTGTCCACTTTCAAAAATGTGTTGATCATTGATTCAAATTTGTTCCATCATCTTGGAAAAATCTTGTAGCTTCATGTTCGTCTTGTGCCCTTCTGAAAATACAGGTTTAGAATATGACTTTATTAAGTAAACATTTTGAAATCACTCAATGAAAGATATTGGACATTGTTTTTTTGTTATAGAGATTAGATTTTCTTTTGTATTTCTTATTTTTTAATTGAAGTCTTATTTGACTAATTCTTACATATAAAACACCTACTGCTTTCCAAATGCACTTAACAAATCCAAAACAGGTTTTCAGTAATGTATTTATAGTTTCCACACCTTTACAATTGGCACAGAATAATTCATGAAGAATACAGTCAAACTGCAAACTACAAAACCAAATGTATGCCATAAAATATCAGTCAGTATGACTATATGCAGTTGTTATTTTTTTAATTTGATGATATTTTAACATTACTTCAAACAAGCTCTTTGAGTTTTCTGCCTCTTCCTGCACTGAATATAGTCTATTTTGTTATTTGTGTCAGTCAGACTAAAACTGGACTTTAAATGCATGTAAAGATGTAAGTCAGACGAACACACCTAGAAAATGTGGATGGGAATTGATTTCATCTTGTTTGTAAACACCTCAATTGGACCTGAACTGGCAAAAACATTAACATAGGGGCCGTGTGCATCTCATTTGTACCAAAAGTAAAACATAGAGTATGAAATGGACAGAGCTGTTTTGGGTTTTCTTTGTTTCCAGTTTATTGTTTGTTTTGAAGTAACAGGTCAATTGGAAGAAGATCCATAAGTAACTAGCTAAAAGCAGACATATTGCCACCTGCTGTAGAAGAGTAGGACATATATCTGTCAATTAATCAATTCTCCCACGGTGCTTGTGTACTGGAACAAGGACAGTAAAAGGCATAGTCGTAGCTAGACTGAGTGAGCTCAGCCTCAGACACAGTATGCTGCCCCTCTCTTTTGCTGTTTTACATCACCTAAAACCAGTCTCCATTTATTTTTACACATGGGCCTATTAACACATCTACTCAATCATGTTTTCTCCCGTTAAGAAATAATGCCCGGTTTAAACATATTCCCTCCTTTCAAGTGCTGAGAATAGTATCCATGCTTTTGTGTCTTCACACTTAGATTACTGTAATTCTCTTTGTGCCTGCTTCAGCC